TTAATCCACCAGACCGCTTCTCAAAGCTCCAATACTGTATTGGACGATTCTGCTTATATACGCAGCATTGAAGGATGGAATCTCAGAAATGGTTTTCAAGAAAACTATGGACATAAGCTTATAGGACAGTAGAATTACATTCAAATAGCTTACTATGATGAAAAGCTTATTATGATAATCTAATTAAAGGATCAAAATAGTGCAATTTGTCTTATAAATGCGACAATTTAGCTCATTTTCAAGATAACGTAGTACACCTATCCCCCCCGATTTACACGGTAGATACGTTCCTGAGAAAAACGTGTAAATCGGGGGATAGGTGTACACAGAAATAAAACTAAAATGCATTGACAGGTTAAAATATGTAGTCAGCACATAAGCTCGGGATTCCTCGTGAGATGTGTACACAGCGCATGTGTTCAAACACAGTAGCATTTAGTATAGTGCGATAAAAACAACAACAAAAAAACTTTTTTGGAAAACCGCGTAAAAGCGAAAACGTGTAAAACAAGTACCGTGTAAATCAGGGGATAGGTGTATAATATATTGTAGAACGTCGTGTAAGTACATGCTGTAGGCCATGATAATAACTTTACTGTAAATGCACCACATATCTACATACGTCGTAAGCACAGTTCGACTTTTGAATTTACAAGTATGCCAGAACCTTGTTCGGTTACTTGCACTCACTGGTAGGATTAGAGTTTTGAAAGAATCTGGGAATCATCGGAGCAATTTTTTTTATTCAGAAAAAAAAAAAAAGTGTCCAAAGCGGGATTCGAACCCGGATCGTGAGGATCAAATATCTACAGTTTATACCATTCCACCACCGACCCCACTTCAATAGAGTGTAGTCAAAATTTTAAACTTTCTTGATGATAAGTCATTTATTTTTTGCCTTTAAAGCTCACACTGGATTCTATATTTCTAAAAAATTACCCAACTATGTAGAAAAAGCCTATACGAATAACATTCTATGAACCCAATTAAAAGTAAAACCAAGCTTAAGAATTATTAAATTTTTATCTGAATAAAAAAAAAAGAGTGTAGAAGGGAATATATAAAATACAGTAAAGGTAAGTTACCCGGGTGTTATTAGGCAGGGAAGAAGCCACCAGAGATGGCTGGCGGGTATGGAAGTCCAACACCTGTCCCAGCAGTTCCACCACGGGCTCGCCTTCCCCTACATGTCTCCGTCCACCGTCTTCCAGCCAGGCCACGAGCTCCCTCAGGACTTCTTGGACTGGGGTCACTTGGTAGCCTATCCGTAGTGTCTCCATCTGTCACAATACCTCACTGTCTACCACCATCTACAGGTCAACTACTGCACATTCACTACGTTTCTTCCTGCAGGAATACATCTCTAGATGAATCTCACACATGGATTAACAATCAATGTACAGTTGGTCTTGAGGTGGACATCACCAGCCAACACATCGACCTGCCCACTATATGGGAAAGAACTCTCGCAGTCCATCGCTGGCGGAGTCTTTCCCGCGTTGGGCGTCACCAATGAAGACCTTGTATATATGCTTATTTATAAATTTTATATTTTACTATTATTTATCTATGCATCCTTATTTAATCTTATTTTTTATATTTATTCATTATTATATTCAACCATATATAACCTTATATGAACGATATAATAAAATTAGTTTCAATCTCAATTTCTCTCTATCAAACTGAAGTTACAACTAAAAAATATTCTATAAATATACCTATATGTGAGGATCTTTAGAATAGAGATTGAAACTGATTTTTTTTTCAAAGTCCATATAAGATTATATAATATTAAATAAAGAATAAATATAAATATGAATAAATAAGATTATATAATGATAAATATAGGAATAAATAGATATAAATATATAAAATAATTGATAAATATACATATATATATATATAAAAATATATACAAGGTCTTCATTGGTGGCGCCCACCTCGAGAAAGACTCCGCCACCGATGGACTGCGAGAGTTCTTTCCCACAGAGTGGGCAGGTTGATGTGTTGGCTGGCGTTACCCAACTCAAGACCAAGATGGTACTTGTAGATGGTAGCCTTCGCTACACTTGTTATTTTCACTGCCTCGGGATGGAGGCCGACGCCGAAGAGCCAGGCCTGCAAATCCAGGGGCACTTCGCAGGAAGCGAACACCTCCCGAAGCAGGGGTCCAATATCGGCAACTCCAATATCAGAGAGAGAGAGAGAAGTTACCAAATAGAAATAAGTTAAACCTAGTCCATCCACGTTGTCTGGTGCAATATATTGTCTTCTTACAGAAAGGTCTTTCAATTATCTCCTCAATTCTTGAGATCAAGTGTCAATGCCATGTCTCCTCTCTATAATAATGATTATTTTAAATATAAGAATAATTATAAGAGATTCATAATTAAACTGGTGAATTATTTATCATTCAGGTATAAAAGTTTCTTTTAATTTTGTTTTTTTGCAAGCTTTCGAGCAAATTAATTTGGCGAAACCGCTGAGAGGGTTCACTACTGATGAGCCAAGCCCTCTCATTCATTAAATCATATCATTGCAGTAAGGTCTGTAGAGATTTAAAAAGAAACGCATTGCCAGTAAATTTATTTGTGTAAAATTTTAACGATAGAGGGCAATAAAATTTAATTTACTAATATATAATGGTTATGAAAACATGTTTTGCGCGGAAGAGCTTTGCTCGATGCAATACCTTGAAATTTATATGTATGTACCTCTACAGACCTATAAGCTTATGTCCATAGTTCACTAAACACCATTTAGCTGCCTTCCATAGAAAATGCAGGGTATATAACAAAACCAGTCCAATACAATAGTAGAGCGGTCTAGAGATTAATTTGGCGAAACCGCTGAGAGGGTTCACTACTGATGAGCCAAGCCCTCTCATTCATTAAATCATATCATTGCAGTAAGGTCTGTAGAGATTTAAAAAGAAACGCATTGCCAGTAAATTTATTTGTGTAAAATTTTAACTATATATATGTAACATATATATTTTAATAAAGAAAACTTTTTCTCTTCATTTTTAGCATTTTATAAGGAATGAAATTTATAATCAATAACATCAAGTACGAAATTTTCGTTTCTATATAAAACAAGCTTCTATGTTCCTTATTATGATGGAAAAATGATGGTAGGGCCTGGCTCATCAATATTTTTATAGTATAAGAATGGTAAAAAATAGTTTGTTTTATATCGAAATAAACATTTGTGCTTTATAGTTTTACACTCATAGACAAAACTTAAGGAAGTTGTACCTTTTAGCATGTATTATTATTATATTTTATTAAATTATTTTAAAAAGAGAACGTTCGAATTTACATATATGCGAAATTTCTCAGTTATATAAGAAAAAAATGAGTGGTTTATACATAAAATATGAAACTACCTTAAGTTCTGTCCATGAGTGTATGTACATATGGTAATTTAAACCAACAACCTCATATTGTATAATACCTTTAACAAGATTTTCATGTTGTATAATAAACACTTCTGTTATAATTATACGCATGATTGACATGTGTGTTTACATCATCATATGTAATGTACTTTGTACAAACTGAGGATGAATAAATAAAACTCTGTAATAGATTAAGAGTTGAGGTAAAGTAAGAGATTGAGATAGAAGTCCGAACGAGGCCTAGAATATGTCAGGGCGTTGCCAGTGTACAATGATCTCTTCCGATCCACGCCCTTATATCATCCTCTGAAATCCAATACTTCCTCTCGGCAAAGATATATAAAGCTGTCAATTCGCCGAAAATATATAGTTACTTCACCATCAGCGGGAGCCCTCGTCGGTTGTGTCAAAGGTCCACCTCATCGACCATGTAGACCAATAAGAACTCTTCTATCTCCATCTTTCGCTCCTAGCTCGACTTTTATCTGTTCACGGAACTTTCCTATTACAACTGTCTCTTCGTTTTTTGTGATGGATATTCCCAAATCTTCCACTCTGCCTCGACCACGACTGCCTGTACTCTGTGAGAACTGTTAAAGGTCTTCCAAGGTGCAGAGAGGTACTGGAAAACTCTTCACATCCTGACTGTTCCTCTCGGCTAACACAGATATAGCGAGAGTCGACAGGATCGCACACCATAGATTAAGTCGACAGGATTCCACAACGAAGGATTCGACATACACATATTTATCAATAATTAATGTAAGAGAATTGAAGCACAAATAAAAATAATTTTCTCTTCCTCCCCCCCCCCCCTCAACCCGCTTTATAAAACACAACCTGAAAGCCAACGTAAATCTCATCACCTTATATCATCTCAAGATGAACGACAAAAATTATTGAAGACCAAATTAGATTTAAGGATATAAATATCTGATCACTGACGCTCATTCGGTTTTATAACTCGGCAATCGAGTGCTGTGAGGACATTCGTCTCCATCAGGGATTCCAGCAGAAAAAAAGAAGAATTCTGTCAGTTTTTATTGAAGAGGAAAGGTGAAGATTGAGTAGCTTTCTGTGGTCGATTTGTGGCGATCTATCGAGAAACGGGGAGAAAAAAACAAAATTAATCCTTTTTCCAGTAATTGACTGTAACTCTGGAAGAGGATTTGCTTCTAATCTGTGCTGGGAGCTATAAAAAGAAGCGAAGGAGGATTAAAGAATTTATTTGGAGACTGTCAACATGGATGCGATCCGACATAGCGACGTGGGTGTAAAACACACAGTTAATACTTAGTTCACACGTACCACTTGTCCATGATAACCATTGTAAGTAGAGGTTTACTATACTGCTTATACTGTAAGTAGATTACATATTTACATATAGCTGCCCTTATACTGATGAGAGACATAGCCCGAAACCATGGTATACAAGTTTTTGGCTTTTGTATCAATCTGATAAGACTTGTGTTGTGGTACATTCCTTATTACCACTTTACATTTTGTACTGGAGTAATGAACAAAATGCTTTGTAAAACAGTGTATTATATTGTATTATAAGTTACTTTATGTATATCATTTACGAACAGAAAAATACGTCTAGGGTAGCCTAGTGGACATGACATCTGCCCGGTAAGCGGAACATTGTGGGTTCGATTCCCATCCCTGGACACTTTTATTTTTCCGTTCATCATTACTCTTCATAATTCATCCTTTCATACCTCATCCAAAAAGGTTAGAAATAGTCGATATTTCACCTTGAAATAAAAATTTGATTTTTCGTCGAAAAGAAACTCATGCGGTGTAACTTCAAGTGCCGTTTTACAATCACATGCCGCAGTGTATTATATAGTTATTATAAGTTACAAAATGTTTTTTTTTAATGAATTTTTAACTGGAGAGAGAGATCTCTTTTGGTGTATGGCTACATAGCAGAAAGAGTTGTTTAATCGCATCTAGAGTTGTGACTTAGAAATGTTTAAAGGTTATAAGGGTCGTTTCATATAATTCAATAAATATCACGTGTAAGATACATTTAGAAGAATTAAGATATTATTATCATATACAGTAGAACCTCCCTTTAGCGGACACCTCTCCACAAAGGACACTTTGGCTCTGCAATTAGGTGTCCTTTACAGGGAGGTTATACAGTATATATATATATTTTTTTCTAAATTATATAACAGCGTGCGTAAATTTGTGCATGCTGAACGGGCAAAGGTTATTATACAATAATGATAGATTCAAGTGACCATCAAAGCCTTAAAAGTTATTCTCTGATAGGATTTTGCAAAAGAGGAAGTATAGCGTTGATTTCACATTGTATATAAGACCTAGAAGAAGTATATATAGAATATGTTGACTTCATTAAATACGATTTTAAAAATTCAAGGTGATTCTCTAACGGATAGAATAGGTAAGAGAAAATAGAGAATTATGTGAAGAACAAAAATGTGTGATCACCTTTTCTTTGATTGCCAGGAAGGGTGCGGAGAGACATTTGGAGAAATCAGGTTCGTCCCAAACAGCTTCTTTGCCATCCAGCTGGGAGCATCTGCGGCTGACTATGCCTGAAACATAGAATGGAACATATAAGAACAGAATATTTAGACAGAACATAGTACAGAACATTAGAACATCGCTGAACATAGCATATGTTAGAACATCAGAACAGAGCATATGTTAGAACATCAGAACAGAGCATATGTTAGAACATCAGAACAGAGCATATGTTAGAACATAGCATATGTTAGAACATCAGAACAGAGCATATGTTAGAACATCAGAACAGAGCATATGTTAGAACATCAGAACAGAGCATATGTTAGAACATCTGAACATAGCATATGTTAGAACATCAGAACATAGCATATGTTAGAACATCAGAACAGAGCATATGTTAGAACATCAGAACAGAGCATAGGTTAGAACATCAGAACAGAGCATATGTTAGAACATCAGAACATAGCATATGTTAGAACATCAGAACAGAGCATATGTTAGAACATCAGAACAGAGCATATGTTAGAACATCAGAACAGAGAGTTAGAATAGGATAAATATATTGACAAAAAAGATAAATTATACAATCGAATATCATAAAAGATAGATAATACATAGAAACAAAGAGGGAGAACATCAAAATAGAACCAAATATACATTAGTAATCAGAATATAACATATATCAAAATGGAACAAAATTTACTACAGAACAATATGAAATACAGAGAATGCATCGGAGCAGAGCATAAAAATAAGAATGAAGCACTGAACAGAATATTAGGAGTGAATAGAAGATGCAAAAGAACACAGTGAAACTGAGAATGAAAAGAACAAATTTGATGATTTTGCTGTCAGCCTCATTATGCACTACTTTGGTTTAAGTGTGGAATAGGCTGTCTTGGTCATATAAAGACAGCGGTAGATATTAGAGAAAAACTTTCAACTTTGGTTTAAGTATCAAATTGGTTAACTTGACCATGTGAAGACTGCGGTATATATCGTAGACAAACTTTTAAATTAGAGTTAAGTTGAAAAAAGGCTGTCTTTTTTGGTCATGTAAAGACTCTAGACAAACTTTTAAGTCTGATTTAAGTGTGAAATAGATTGTCTTGGTTATGTAAAGGGTTCAGTCGATATCACAGACATACTTATAACTTTGGCCTAAGTGTAATATAGATTGTCTTGGTTATGTAAAGGGTTCACAGACAAACTTCTAACTTTGGTTCAGGTGTAAAATAGGTTGGTTTGGTCATACAAAGAGTTCAGTAGATATCACAGACAAACTTCTAACTTTGGCTTAAGTGTAAAATAGATTGTCTTGGTTATGTAAAGGGTTCACAGACAAACTTCTAACTTTGGTTCAGGTGTAAAATAGGTTGGTTTGGTCATGCAAAGAGTTCAGTAGATATCACAGACAATCTTTTAACTTTGGTTTGAATGTGTACAACAGGTTGGCTTGGTCATTTAAAGACTTCAGTAGATAATAAAGACAATCTTTTAACTTTGGTTTGAATGTGTACAACAGGTTGGTTTGGTCATGCAAAGAGTTCAGTAGATATCATAGACAATCTTTTAACTTTGGTTTGAATGTGTACAATAGATTGTTTTGGTCATGTAAAGACAGCGGTAGACATGAGTAAGAAGGTTTACCTGAATGACCGAGTGGACAGCGCTGGAGGTCCACAGTATTGACGGCAGCTTGACTCCATCGTATCCCCGCCCGCTCACCAGCTCCGCACGTCGGCACCGACACATCTGCCACGACACCAGCGATGTGAAAGTGATGATAGCATTCCACACCTACTCTTTCAACCACATAGGTAGAATTTGTACAGTTAGTGAAATGAAGAATGATTTGGGAAGGTTTTGGCTCATCGTGATGAAATTTCCCTTCGATTTCAACAAACTCATCCACCTGATCAAATGCTGTATTTAAATTATCCTCATTAACTAAGCACCCTCTATCTCGATATAAATTATAAACCTATTTTAAACTTTCTTTATCAAAATTGTAAACTATTATAGTATATCACTAACGTTATCTCTACATACAGTACATCAACTTACCACCGGAGTCCGGGTCCGGTATCACGGTGACGTGGGAATCCTGGGACGCCGAGCCGGAGTTGCTGGCGATGATACAGGTGTAGCGAGCCGAGGCCCTGGGTGACCTCAGCACTAGCCGAGACCCTGTGGGGAACAGGTCTTCCACTACTTCTCCCCCGCCACTGCCGAGGATCTTGCCGTTCTTGAGCCAGTTGTAGCCGAAGCTGGCGTAGATGTCGTCCTGGGAGAGACAAGTCAGGACTAGACGATCTCCACGTGCTACCGTAGCTGTCAGCGGGGTCAGGCGGGGCTGGTGGGCGGACTGTACGTGGAGAGTGACGGACTTGCTAGCCGTGGCTCCCCCCGGCTCCGTCACCCGGCAAGTAAACTCCCCTGCGTCAACCCCAGTCAACCCACCGTACTCCTGGACCGTAAAGACCTAAGTCTGAAGTACCGTTTTCCTCAAAATAGAGATAGTTTAAAAAAAAAATCTGAAAAATAAAATAAAAAATTGTAAACTACTTCAATGCCTTTAATGTAAAAAAGCGTTAATTTTAGAAAGTTACTCGTAAACGGAGCTTTTTGTCTCTCAAGAGGCTCTGCCTCAAGAAGCTGGGAAAGATGGGAGCTTATCATGTTTGAAAGTATAAAACATGTCACATTATCTTGTTATATATTTCCTGGCTATATGACCTTTATTTTTATAGATCAATATCCCCTCCCGGCAAAATTTCCATCAATATTTTGGCCATAGATTTGGCCTAGCCACTTTTCCAGCTAAATAACTCTTTGGCAGATTGTGATGAACTATTGAAATCGAAGAGCACCTTAAACTGACGAGGGCCTTTAGCCCTAACCATGTCCTCTCTCTGGTGGACGTTCTCAATTTGACTAAGATGGTGTTGTGGCTTTGTCACCGAACTCAGTCCGCTAGTTTGCATAAATGATCAATAGATATCACTTAGTTTTAGCGTCTATTTTGACGGGAGAGGTGTCCTATATTGTTACGAATTTCTTATATATAGAAATATCTTCCCTAAGAGAGATGGAAACAAGAATACTCCTAAGTCTCCTCTTAGAGATGGTCTTTCATGGGAAGTATTGTCAGAAATAGTCAATTTTGGAATTACAAAGGTGGTCGCTTATGGGAGGTAATTTTATTCTACAAAAATATAAACGCACACACACATTTGTTTAAAAAACATTCTAATTGAACTAAATTTCACTTTGTATTATATTTTTTTTATTAATTAAACGACAGAATAAACCAAAAATTCTGGGAATGATTAATTCTTTAAAAACTATTATATTTTCTTTTAAACCAGAATACGTTTATTTAAAATGCCAAACACACAAGTTTTAATTATTTACTTTTAAAATTACAATACCATTCAGCCCCCCCACAAACTATAAATATTTCTTTTCTAAACATTAATTTCCTGCTTGAAATGAGAAGAGAGAAAGGAAAAAAAAAGTAGTTAAAAACGAACAATTACAAAATAATTCTAAAACACCGTTTGTTATTTAAGCAGAAGATTCGTTGGAATGGCTAAAATTAGAATCCTCTTGTGTATCGCAATATCGTCTGCTTTACAAAGAAACAAAGGATTCTTTTAAATCCTTTTGTACCTATTACAGCGGTGTAATCTCCGTGTCTATAATCCGATTTGGCAACAGACCTACCATCGATCACCCATGTTTGCTCTTTTCAAAATGGCGAATTTGAGAGAAGCGGCAGACGATCTTTTTAAAATTTAACATTTTATTTTTGGTCAAAAGTATTTTTTTTTTTTGCAAACATTACTGTTTATTTAAAAATATTATTTATATATAATGAAAATTACTAATATATAGAAAAAAAAAGCAAAATTTATCGAGATAAAGTTCTAAATTAAATAAATACTATTTTCAGATGACTTTAAAATTAGTACTTCATATAAGAAATATATATAATTAACGTATTAATAATAGAATAAGTTTTTCTGTGTATTTATTTATAGTTAATGTGGAAAATACTAAAAGATAAACATTTAGAAAGTCTTCTATATACTATTAACTACACTATCCAAGTAGATTTAAAAATTCTAATATCTATAGCATAAAGTTTTTATTTTCTTCTCTAAA